CAGGGAGGAGGAGGTGTGTCATCGCTCAGCTGGAGTCACTGTGAGGGTTTCTCACCTGGGGGAGGAGGCTGGAGAGCAGAGAGCTGTGAAAACTGACCAGTGCACCGCTCAGCCTGGAGGGAGGAGCACAACAGCAGCAATCACCACTGACATCAACTGCTCCACTGAAAACTGCTTCTTTGGTTTTTGTTGCTCGGTGGTAAATGTGGTATTAACACGTTTGACCTTTGACCTTTTTATATTTCTATATTAAATATATGTAAAAAAGCCAAGTGTGTTAATACCTTCCCATTATATCTTGTGTCATTTTATTCTGAAAGGACCTGGAATTTCTAAAATTAAAAGTTGTATTTTCTGGGTAAGATTCATTAAAATTAAAGTTTCTTTAGTTGGTAGCAGACATTTTTCTGACTGTCTATAGTTTGTTTATTCTTATATTTAAAGTATTTTACTCAATTTTGTTTTGTTTTATTTTATTTTAAATGTCACACTTTGACCCATGGCCCCTCTCTCACTGTAGCTATCGGATTTACCTACTTTCTACTTCTTGCAATGTTGTCTTTATATTATCATTATTATTATTATTATTATTATTATTACTGTTGCAAAATTTGTCCTGATGGTGATGCTACAGTAAAAGTCATTATTATTCCTGCATGTACAAATAAAATTTGCTGTAATCTTGTGACTGTTGAGACTAAAATGATGCTCTTGACTGAACTGTGGGATGGACTGAGGTGCTCTGGTTCTGCTGTTATCAGAGAGACGTGTTTCCTAATGTTTCGTTATTACCTTCCCAACATGTCCGACAGGATGTCCAGAGCCTCCAACTGAACCGACACGTCCTCCTGTTTCCCCATGGCACCGATCAGCTGAGAGGTAATCTTCTTACAAACATTGGCTGTCAGAGTCAAACCTGGCAACCCGCAGGACCAGAGACCAGAGACCAGAGACCAGAGGTAACTTTGAGAAGCAACATCACGATAAAACCCAACACAAAGATGTAACACTGAACTATTTCACACACTGGTTTATCATTTTATTCCCAGTTGTTATTCTTTATTCTCAGTCCGTGAGGTCGGAGCTTTTGCTGCCTTCGAGTGCACTCAGGAATACTGAGCATCAGATGCACTTGAACAATTATAGTTAACAAATAAAACTTACTGAAAAGTTTAGAATTGAAAACATAATAATGAGTGATTTGATTAAAAGCATTAGTTACATTTCTGATACACATTTGTTTTTAGTCACATTCACATCCCCTGATGTTCAAAATATCCACATCACAGCGAGATGGAAACCTGATCATCATTAAATCTGGAATCAGGACAGAGCAGAGTAAACAGAGACAGGTGTGTGTCTCAGGTGTGTCTCACCTGATGAAGACAGCGGCAGCTCGGCGATCACAGTCTTCAGTCCCATGCTGGAAATGTCCCTCAGCTGCTCTTTATCTGACATCATGTTGGAACACAGAGTGTCCACCATCGTCTCCACCTGAGGCTCCTTCACCTTACTCACCAGAGGCGCCAGGCTGAAAATCAAACATACCCAGAGTTTACTTCCTTCATTTTCCACATCAGTTACATCGAGTCTCTGGCATGAACATTAAAGTATCTAAATATTCAAAAAAAAAAAATAGTCACAATAAACAAATGTATTAAAGTCTCACAAATGTGTTTTGCTTATTGTCACTTGGATGTTTGAGCGTCACTGTGCAGAGAGACGAGTTTGTGTTCACACTCGTCTGATGAAGTTTCTCTGAGCTCACCTGGAATCTCAGTGTAACACCTGGACAGCGGCCCAATCACGGCCCAATATGAAACTTACACAGGTGTGATGTGGGAACTTGAACCTCGCGGGACAGAAACACTAAGAACAGACTTCTCAGTGAAGCAGGAAACGTCTTGTGTCCAATATCTAAACATTTATAATGAACTGATACTGACATTCATAGATGGTTGATTTCCTCTAATATTAACTCAAGGTTTTTATTGAAAATCCATTGATTATGACTTAAAGCAGAGTTTTTATTCAGCTTATAAAACATGTTTGGTGAGGATCTTTGAAATATAGTTTTGCAGTGCAGCAGCCACTGCATTAAAAACAGGAAAAAACAGATAAAGATGAGGAACGAATGAATGAATGAATACATAAATTAATGAATGCAGTGGTGTTCAGAACATGTATAAACGAATCTTTAAACTGAATGACTCAGCATCTTTTATCAGTGATCCTCCACTTCCTGGTGACAGATAACACCTGTGATTCACTGGATGTTACTTCCACATTAAAAGCTGATTAAAAGATGCAAAAGCTACAGAAACAATCTAAATCTGATAATCTAATTCACATTATGATCAGACTGAATCATGAGTGTCACCTGACAGTTTAGTTCAAGAAAAGAAATCATCTGCATTGTGTGTGTGTGTGTGTGTGTGTGTGTTTACCATTTCACAGCCAGGTTCTGCACCTCTCCGTTCTTGTCCTCCAGCAGTTTCAGCAGCATGGTCACCACCTTCCTCTCACTGTCCTCGTCCAGTTTAATGCTGTCCTTCTGCAGCTCCAGCATCAGGTCGTTGGTGGCCATGAACCTGGACACACACACACAAACACACACACAGAAAGGGACAAAGTGGGATGAGTCGAGAGTTAACAACTCATCTCATTAATATTTCTGATTTCATGTTTGCAGGGTTAAATGAGAAGAAACAGGAAACAAACGCAGAAGAAGAAGTCGATCACCAATTAATATAAGTTGATTAAATGATTCAAACCTGTATTATAATGTCATTTATAACCACTCTTATCTCACCACACACACCAACACACTTTCTCCAAACTGGGTAAACACAGAGGTGCAGTGATTACTGGATTAACCAGTTAGTTCATCAGCAGAGAATTGATAGCCATCTACTTTTTAAAGCAATTAATCAGTTTTAATGCCACAGATTTGGTGTTTCCAGCTTCTCCAGTTTTTTTCTTTGTCCAACACTAAACTGATTATCTTTGGGTTTGGGACAAAGCAAGACAGCTGGAGATGTCACCTTGGTCTGTGGGAGATGTAACTGGTATGTTACACTGTTTTCAGGCATTTTACACTGAAGAGAAAACAAACCAAAAGAAAATCTGCTGATTAATTGATTTAATTAAATCAATAGTTAGTTGCAGCTCTAGTTTGAAGACGTTTTGTCTCTTGAGAAAAGAGAAATATGAAATAAAATACAATTTCTTTTAAAATAAGTGAAGAAATGTAGTAGTGTAGTAAGTTGACACACACATACAGTGAATGAGTCAGGACCCAAAAGTGTCATCTCACTGTCAGACACACACTGTTTCTCCCTCTTACCTAAAGTCTTTGTCAGTTGATGTCATTTTCTCCAACAGGTTGGAGATGTGGTAAGACACACTCGACATGTTGGCACTTTGACAGCTGTCCCCGGCGCTGTGAGACTAACTCTGCGATAAAACCACAAAACTTGGGCAACAGATTTTAACCCGACAACATGGCGAGGCTGCAGGGGACAGAGGGAGGGAACACGGGATCAGCACCCGGTGAGGAACTTGATACTGGGTGAGTTCAGATAAAAATAGACGCGAGAGAAAAGTGCTTCAGGATTATGGTGCCACCGTGTGGACACATAGTGAACATCATGGAGGGAGGTGGGAAATAAAATACTATTTTTGGGGGGAATTTTTTTTACAAACAATTAGACACATCAGTTCTTAAATAAAAGAAACAAAAAAATAATAATAATTAAAGAAAGGGCGAATACATATTTTAAATGACCGACTTCTTCAGACAAACATTTCAGAATAGATATTAACTCCTGACATGGACTTCCTGTTTGTTGCAAATTTAAGAGACTCCAAGTTCAAGATTAATTGGAAACGACTTAAATGATTTCATTTTAGAAATTTCGCCTCATGAATATGAAATTTTCCAAGTAAAATTAGGATGTTAACAACTGTTATCTTTACATTCAAAATAAGTGAAAATATTTTTCTGTTCAATGTTAATGACACGCGATGTTTTGCATAGCCTTAAATGTAATTTCCAAAGTCTTTCCAGTATGTAGTGCAATATGAGCAACCGTAGAACAAATGAATTGTGTTTTCTTGTCCAGTCTTACAAAAAGTTAATTTGTTATCAATCGAAATAAATTACTCACCGTGGTGCTCTATAATTTATCTAAACCGGAAATGGACATTCAGCTGGAGGAAGTCAAAAGCCTCCAAAGATGCTGATGGAGGTTAATTAATAAAACATACATAGAAACACATACTGAAATCATCCAGTGTGATTTAAGATTCCCAAAAGATGTCATTATGTTGAATGTCCATTGAGAATAAAAGTCCATAAATCCACTTTGAAATCAAAGAAAAAAGACGCTTCAGAACTTGCCTGAAAATCATCATGTTTTTAAGTTTATTTCAGTATGACTGTTATCCAGTGATAGTTCTATGTTTATTCGTGGTTACACTAAAAACAGGAAATACTAATAGTGAATTCGGCATACTTCGGCATATGTTGCCGGTTTGACAAAATATAAACAAATAAAGGTTCAAATCAAAGCTATAAAGAGAATATCAGCTGATATTACAGCTGTCCATTTGATTTGTTTACATTTTTACACAAAGGTCAAACTGAGCTGATGAAAAGTAGGAGGACGAGCAGCTCCTCATGCAGCACCAGCTCAAAGATCCACTTAAAATGACAAGCATGCAGCTCCAGACGGGATTTAAATGACAGAAGAAGCGGCCAAAACAGGAGCTTGTTGGGGGTCCCTGGGGATCCTGGGCCCGGGGGGAGTAGGTTAATAATCCAGCTCTGTTATATTTTGTATATCTTTTATTAATGTAACATTTACAGCTTGTTTGGTCTTTTTAATGTTTTATTTTAACCTCCAACTAACTATCGGATGCGAAGTAAACTGTGTGGTTGGTATGTGGAACCTTTTTTGTGCTCGCTGACGTTTCCGCCGGTAGGAAGAGTGGTGGGACCGAGCTCTGCACTTGTTGCCACGTCGGAGCGGGCGGTGAATCTGGTCAATTCATCTCCAGATAAAGAAGGAATAATAATTTTCTGGATTTAGTTTCTGGTTTATCCGCAGACATGGTGAGTCCGATCACGTTTGGTTTAAGCTGCCGGTGACGCCGTTAACGTGTGTGTTGTTTAACGTTTACCGCCGGCTGCTGACGTGACCGGGTAGCTAGCTCGTTAGCAGACATGCTAACAGCAGAGAGCTAATCTTTAAAGTTTGTGTCTTAATGTTCTGTGTCGTTTTAGTTCTGATTCACTTGTTTGTGAATTTCAGGTTTCTGTCATCAACACGGTGGACACCTCGCACGAGGACATGATCGTAAGTTGTTTTCCCACTGTTTCAAGCTAACGTTAGCATTTGCTAAACAGACATGATTTACTAATGTAACATAGTTTTTACAGTTAAATCACCACAAATGTATCTTCACACGTTACGTTGCTTGTTTGTCAGAATATATCATGTCAATATGAGCTGATATTAGTCTGTTAACACTATTTCTTAGTCAGTTAAACGTTTAGCTGGTTTTCAGAATAAGAGTACAAGTATTACGTGGTTCTGACTTCCTCAATGAGAGGATTTATTTATTTTTATTGTTTATTCGTCTCTCTTTATATAATTGTAAATTGGTCAGACAAAACAAGATATCTGGTGAAGTCCCCTTGAACATCTTACATTTTATGACATTTAGAGCAAATTATTAATCGATTATTCAAGTTAATAATCACCAGATTAATCAATACTGAAAATGAATGAGAGATGCGGCCTTAATAAGTGAGTTGACATTTGACAGTTCCAGTGTTGATATGATTTACAGACACATTCTGCTTATGCCGAGGAATCACTCTCACAAAGCAGCATTTCACTGAACTGTTTGATTTAACTGCACAACTGTACAAGACCTGTACAACAGTTTATGTTGTCTGTTGCCACGAACCATGTCCCAGCTTTGATTCAGGTGACACAAGCACCTCTCCACATGAATCATCATTTTGCTCTGTAACTGCTGGATGTATAAATGAGAAACTATTTACTCTCGAGAAACTTAAAAGGTGATGGCATCAGTGTTGTCTTTACAGCTTATTTCCACTGACATTAAGTGGCTAAAGATCAGTTGCTGCATCAGTTATTGCAGGTTTAAGCTCTTGCTCTGTGTGTTTCAGCACGATGCCCAGATGGATTATTACGGGACTCGACTTGCCACCTGTTCGTCTGATCGCACTGTGAAGATCTTCGATGTCAGAAACGGAGGTCAGATCCTGGTCGCAGACCTCAGAGGGTAAGAAACCAAAGTTAACCAAAAGTTACATTGAAAATTTGATTTCGAGTCGTTTTTAATCTGTAACACTATATTTGAGTAAATATCTGTGTGTGTGTGTGTGTGTGTGTGTGTGTAGCCATGAAGGTCCCGTGTGGCAGGTGGCGTGGGCTCACCCGATGTTCGGCAACATCCTGGCTTCCTGTTCCTACGACCGTAAAGTCATCATCTGGAAGGAGGAGAACGGAGCCTGGGACAAGATGTACGAGTACACGGGACACGAGTCGTCAGGTGTGTGTCTCCGTGCTCTGCTCCCACAGAGAAATCAGTGTGTGATTATCACTCTGGTTCTCTAGAGGAATTATCCAGGTTTTCCATCCATTTCAAACCAGCTGTGATGTTTCCCTGACGGTCTCTTGTTCTTCACTCTGCAGTGAACTCCGTCTGCTGGGGTCCCTATGACTTCGGTCTGATCTTGGCCTGCGGCAGCTCAGACGGAGCCATTTCCCTCCTCACGTTCACTGGTGATCAGCAGTGGGACGTCAAGAAGATCAGCAATGCACACACTGTGAGTGTGACACACTCTTCTGAGTCACACTGAACTTTCATTTGTCTATTTCCATCATGTTGTGAGATGAAACACAGGCTTAAATATTATAAATCTCTGTCATTGTTTTCCATTCACTCCAACGTGCATGTGACAATAGAGTGAGCGGAGCTGACGCTGTCTATAAACCCAGTTGTTGTGATCGTCCTGCAGATCGGCTGTAACGCAGTGAGTTGGGCTCCTGCTGTGGTTCCAGGAAGTCTGATCGACCAGCCGTCAGGACAGAAGCCGAACTACGTCAAGCGCTTCGTCTCCGGAGGCTGCGACAACCTGGTCAAACTCTGGAAGTATGTTACTGGAGTCTCTTTTGAACTTCTCTCTGGTGCTTGTGGTTTTTCTGTGTTGTGTTTAGTGATGGAGGGAACACCCACACAGATATTTCATCTCAGGGTTTTCACAGTAACTTGGTTGGTAGCATCGTGAGTGAGGTGGACGAGGATGTTGAAGACTTAGGACAAAGTGTTAAAACATAAAGCTGTTAATAGGATTTAAAAATTTGGTTTTGACGAGGAAAATTAAAATGAAGTTCTCTCGTCAGTGATTTTTCTTTGTCTTGTAAAATAAAGACTCGGTGATCTGAGGGTTACTGAGTTAATGTCACTGATGGTCACTTCCTGCCTCCAGAGAAGAAGACGGTCAGTGGAAGGAGGATCAGAAGCTGGAGGCTCACAGTGATTGGGTGAGAGACGTCGGCTGGGCTCCTTCTATCGGCCTCCCCACCAGCACCATCGCCAGCTGCTCCCAGGTGAGATTTTGTCGCCATAGTTTAGTCAAAAGATATGTGTCAATTTTTCAATTGAGATTTCTTCAACAGTTATTAGCCAGGGGTTACCTTCCTCAGGTGACTTGTAATAGCTCTTTTACCTGCTTTTAACTGTATTTTAACCAAATGTCTGTGGCTTCTCATCACAGAAGCGCATTTTAAACAGAGATCCTGTTGTATTACCATCAAGAAAACACCTCGTTACGCCGCCAAACTCCTCTCCTTTTTATCAGCAGGTTATTTTATAAAGAACTAAAGTCTAGTGTGAATTTACTCACCTGTACCACCAGGTGGAGCCAGAGATAACGTCCAGTTCCCTCCACTGCTGATCTGGAGACACATTCACTCTTTCCTTTGCACCTTCTTTCAGGACGGACGCGTGTTCATCTGGACGTGTGACGACCCGGCAGGCAACACCTGGACGGCCAAACTGCTCCATAAGTTCAACGACGTCGTCTGGCACGTCAGCTGGTCCATCACCGGGAATATACTGGCTGTTTCTGGGGGAGACAACAAGGTAGAGAGGAGGAAGTCACACAGACGCTGTACCTTTTGTTTTACCCTGCACTTGCTGCCATTTTCCAACACACTTTTACACACTTATAATGACTGTGTGTGTGTGTGTGTGTGTGTGTGTGTGTGTGTGTGTTTTGTAGGTGACGCTGTGGAAGGAGTCGATGGACGGTCAGTGGGCCTGTATCAGCGACGTCAGCAAGGGTCAGGGCGCCGTCTCCACCATCACAGACACACAGCAGAACGAGCAGTGACACACACACACACACACACACACACACACACAACAAAGAGCCCTGACCCTACCAGGATGACCCCAGTCTTCAAAGATGAATTCAGCGTTAATCAACATGTCGGACATTTGAACGGACACCTAAAGGTCGTCCTGAGCTTCTGAACTTGGTTTGTAATCTGTTGGTTTTCAGTCTGACGTCTCCTCATGTGTTTCTAAACTTCATCAGGAGGAAGAGAAACGTTCACGGTGAAAGGCGCGTTTGGTTTCTTTTCCCCGTCTGATGACGTTTCTAAATACAAACACGACTGATGATAATTGCCTCAAGATTTTTCTCAGATGCACTCCACTGCGTCTCTTTCTGTTTGTTCACATGTACATCAGTACTTTACAAATCCATCCCATGATGCTCTGCTCCTGAATCATTCCACCTCCACCAGCGGAGAACAAAACTACCAGGGTGATCCCAGAATCCTCGGCGGCAACTGTCCCTTAACTTTCTTTATTTTATCTGCTGGTTCATTCAAACCACTAAACAAGCTTCTTATTGAGCATGGAGGCAATTTATTCTTCATTATATTAAATGTATTTGGTGCAAAACCAGCTTCAGATCTCGGCCCGAAAACATCCTCATGTTCTCACAGTGGCTCAAATCAGAAACATTCACTCGACTTCCTGGTTTCTACAGTGAATAAATATAAAAAGTGATTTATGTAGTGAACTGCTGACACGTACAGGTTCTTTATCAGAGGTCGGAGGTCGGTCGACGGGGATCAGAACGTCAGCAGGTGTTTGTAAATCCAGAACCCGCCTTAATTAATCAGCCACTACACTGCTACGGCAACCAGAATCAGTCAATCTGTTGCCAAGACAACCATGAATGGGGCTTAATTGTAAACAGTGTTTTTTCCTCCAGTTGTAAAATCAGAAACCATGGATGTTTTTTTTCATATTTGATGTAATTAAATAACTTTAATGTAAAAAGGCCGTGTCGTGTTTCTCCTTTACTCCTGTTTGATCATCTCATTGTAGCAGCTGAAGTTTCTGTGGAGACGTAACGACTCAAACATGTATGAAGTCTGTTTACTCAGCTGATCTCACCTGGTTCTTCATCTAGAGACGTGGAGTTTATAATTTAATGTAATCCATTATAATTAGATTTAATCCGGCTCATGTTTGTTTTTATAAGTCGTAGTTATCTTTTGGGCATTTTTATGCTTTTATTTGACAGGGGAAATTGGAGACAGACAGGAAATGTGAAACATCCAAACCCCCCCCCCCCCCTCTCTTTTACAGACTGTTCTGCTCAAACTAACAGACTTTTTATAAAACAAAAACTACACAAATAGAACAAATTTACAATAATAATAAATACCGATTATATACCATCATAAATACCAAAATAAAGTAACAAGCACAGAAAGGAAATAGTGTATAAACGGATATTCAAATAAAATAGAAAATTACTAAATGGCACAAATAACAAACAACACACACATTTTAAATTGCACCATTGTCTTCTAAAGCTTTCCTTGATCTAAAGTCATAAACTAATACTAAAATTATATACAATTATAAACACCAAGATAAAGTAACAAGATTAGAAAGAAAATGCAGAAATCCTTCATCCCACATTATTACACTATTGAACACACACACACATGTTGGTTTATTATTCTCATTCAGATGTGTGTGAAACTACAGGTCTGTATTCACAGTATTATGAATGACGTGGTTTATTTGGCAGCTTTTCACGGTGAGACTGATTTTACGACTGACTGTACAGAGATAGAAGGGCACAATCTACTGTATTTATCTATATACTGAATGGAAAGAAGAGCTGACACATATCTGATGTGTCCTCAGAAACTGTGGAGCAGCTCTGCGCTCGCGGCTCTTTGAGGCTCCACCTCAGATATTCAGTGTCATCACATCCACAGCAACATTTTCTTTTCATCAACATTAAGACGCAGCTGAGCCAGTTCTGTCAGTCAGGAAACACGACAGAAAAAGTCCCGGTGTGAAGGTTGCAGCACCTGTTATCAAAATGAGACGCTGTTTGTTGGCGGATTCGGAGGCGGGGGTGAAAGTCTGCATCAGAGATTCAGAGTCAGATAGGAGACTGGGCTTCAATTGATTGGACGGTTCAGGCAATGCACACACTGTGAGTCACACTGAACTTTCATTTGTCTATTTCCATCATGTTGTGAGATGAAACACAGGCTTAAATATTATAAATCTCTGTCATTGTTTTCCATTCACTCCAACGTGCATGTGACAATAGAGTGAGCGGAGCTGACGCTGTCTATAAACCCAGTTGTTGTGATCGTCCTGCAGATCGGCTGTAACGCAGTGAGTTGGGCTCCTGATGTGGTTTCTTAGCCATTAGTCTTTTGCTCAGGTGGGTTACCTTCCTCAGGTGACTTGTAATAGCTCTTTTACCTGCTTTTAACTGTATTTTAACAAATAATTTGTGGCTTCTCATCACAGAAGCACATTTTAAACAGAGATCCTGTTGTATTACCATCAAGAAAACACCTGGTTATGCTGCCAAGCAGGTTATTTTATAAAGAACTAACGTCTACTGTGAAGGTTGCCACACCTGTTACCAAAATGAGACTCTGTTTGTTGGTGTTGACGGAGGCGTGGGCGGAAGTCTATGGATCAGTGATTCAGTGTCAGAGAGGAGAGGAAACTTTTGGCTTCATTTGATTGGACGGTTCAAACCAACAGGAAACTGATAAGAGGCGGGAATATTTGTGGAATGCAGAGAAAAACAAGAGAGCAAGATGTGTATCTGAGGTTATTCTTCTGATCCTCATGTTCAAGAGAGGAACATGGTCAAGAGGAGCTTCCTCTTTTGTAGCGGGGAGGGAACCCTGACCATGTAGTTTCTACCCGCATTTTATTTCCCGCCACTTCTTTAATGAGTCACTTTCCATCTCCTTATTTTTCAGCTTTTTGGTTCATGATCAGTTTAATTCAATCAGCTCGTTTCCCTCCCTCAACATCCACAGCTGAAGTGTCCTGTTCTTCTTCTTCTTCTTTTTCTTCTATGATCAGTTACAGAAAGTACATCTACTCATGTACTGTACTTAAATACAAATTTGAGGTACTTAATCTTAACTTTAAATTAGAGGAAATACTGAGAATGAATGAATGAGGTTTCTGACCCAAGAATCTTTTCTCTGATTAGTTCAACAACCATTTGATTAAATTAGTTTGTTTTTGTAGAGTTTGGTTTCACACCTTCCTGGCCTTTGTGTGTGTCTTCATTGGAGTCCTGAAATCCCTAATCCAGAGTTTCCCAACATACGGGGTCTCAAGTAAAGTACAAAGACATGAAATGGTTAATCACTTCACAAGATTTATGGTTTCTGTGGTGATGTCCTATCAATCATTCGACCGTGTGTGTTTGCGCGCCAGTTTTTTGGCTGGCAGCGTTTCCTCCCGCGGTTAATGAAAGGAGATTGTTCTCTGCAGACGCTCAGCCACAGTCTGTCTGCTCTCTGCTGTTCGAGCACTTTGTTCACCTTTTCTCAGGGTGAGTTTGTGGTTTATTACTTTGTTTTCTACCTGTGATAGATGGGAAAGTGATAATTCAGCAGCTGTCAGACTTTATTCTTTATTGTTTTCTGTTGTGTGACGCCGGGTCAGATCGGTCACGAGACATTAACAATAATTTTTGTGTGCTGCACGAATGAAAACATCACGTTCAGGTTTATATTTATGTGTTTATTAACTTCATAAAAAGTTTCCTTTTCAAGCAGTGCTTCACTTTTCTTCTTCTCTTCTTTTATACATCGATGATTTAATTTGGATTATGATGCCAGTGGTTCTTCAGTGTGTTTTGTGAAATCTTCTATAAGTGAACATTAAGGAAAAATGAGAAAATAAATAACATAAAAATAGTTGTAGAAGTTAAAATCTCTCTCGCTGTTATTGAGGAAATGAGTCAGCGCTTGGTTGTGGAGCCTCAGTGTGTCATGAAGGACATTTCCTGTCCAGTGAAGAAAAGCACCAAGAGTGGAAAAACTATTGTCTGAATGATTTCTGTTTTATCTTTTAACAACCTGGTACAAACTCACCTCCCTGCTGAATACATTATATCTAGAGGTTATAATTAATAATAAATAGAATTTGATGTTTCCAAACTGTCACTTTACATCCATCCCACATTTTCCCGCCCATATGATTTATTTTTAGCCATGTTAGTCACTCCGCCATTTTGCTGACTGAAATATCTCAACAACTATTTAAAGGATTGAAATTCAGTTTGTTACAGATTTTCTTTTTCCTACATGAAGTCAAGCTTTTAATTTGTTGAAAGCTTTGATTTGTGACCAAGTACTTAGGAAACTATGACACTCCCATCAGCCTCAGCTGTAGTTGACAGCTGCCAATAAGTGTACATTGGCATGCTAACACGCTAAACTAAGACAGTGATCTTAGGAAACATTGCTGTATACATGATGAACATAAACGTGTCAGTGAGCTGTGAGTTTTGTTTTCGCAGTCAAAATGAAGATTGCTTCCTTCAATGTCAAGAAGCTGGGACTCAGCAAAGTCAACGATGACTTTGTGCGGACATATCTTATCAAGGTAAGTCACTGTGCTGCACCAGCTGGTGATAGTTCATTTACCAAATAATTAGGTTAAAAAACAAAAAAGTGTACAATCCATTGACTGTATATAAAGACAGACATAGCCTCCGTGATGTCATCCAAGTGAGCTGCTCCACTGTTGCCATCTTGGCAGAGCCTGACTCCGCCCCTAATTCCCAGCTAATCCAAAAATTGACAAAGAGGTGGAGCTGAGACATCAGTTAATGCTGGTTTGTGGCAATCATACGCTCACCCACCTGTCACTCCAAGAGGCCACGCCCTCAATCCTCCATGACTGTAGTCCTTAATAAAATGTAAACAGGTGAGTTATATAAACAGGTGTCATGAAGGAGGAAATTAGCTCTAGAGACCAAAACAGTTTTTGTACCAGGCTGTAAACATGTTTATTTCTGCTGTAAAGTTGGACATTTTAACATGGGAGTCTATGGGGACTGACTCACTGTTGAAGCCAGACTCTAGTGGTCGTTAGAGGAACTGCAGTTTCCGGTTTCAGCACTGGAGGCTGTTGCTTGGTACAAACACAAACACAGTTTGATTTGTTGTTGTATTTGTTTCTACATCTCTTACATCATTATTCATAATTTATTGACCTTTTTCACAGAAGATATTTTAACGTATCACAGTGGGACAGATACAGGTGTAAGTGTTGTGTTGGCTGTGTCTCTTGCAGATTGTGTCTCGGTACAGTGTGGTGGTGATGCTGGAGGTGGTGGATGCCAACGGCAGGGCCATGAAGAAGTTCCTCGAAAAACTCAATGAATACAGGTGAGTTCTCTAAACACAAATACGCAGTGATTCTCCTGAGTGTTTCAGTTTTTCTCTTCTCTGTTCTTTGACAGAGACAATCGCCATGATCCGTTCTCCATGGAGAGCAGCAAAATGCTGGGACGCAGCACCTACAAGGAGAAATTTGTCTTCTTCTACAGGTATGAAAGGATCTTTTCTTTCTCCAGGACGGACACGTAGGCTCGTCGGTTCCTGTCCCTGGAGGTGCTGGACCCTCAGGTCGCAGCCCTATGTACCAATTGCTTTATTTAATAGATTAAGGATACACATCCTAACACATTGCATCTGTGTGTCTCAGAGCGAGGGAGGTGAAGCTGATTGACTCCTTCCAGTACGAAGAGGAGGGGAGAGATGTGTTTGCCAGAGAGCCCTTCGCTGTGCAGTTCAAGTGTCTTAATACTGGTGTGTGTGTGTGTGTGTGTGTGTGTGTGTGTGTGTGTGTGTGTGTGTGTCCACTGGTTTAGCAATATCTCACTGTGTGTATTTGTTTCCTCTAGCTGTGAAGAAGCTGGTATTGATCGCTGTCCACAGCAAACCAGAGGATGCAGAGACAGAGCTGAACGCTCTGGGTGACGTGGTCGAAGCTGTGAGGAATAAATTCAAGGCTACTGTGAGTTGGATATGAACAGAATAGAATAGAAATGAAAGGATCAAATGTGACACCCAGATTCTTGGCTGTCAGACTATAAGAAATCACACCGCTGTTGAGAGTTACTGTCACTGGATCAAACTGGTGTCTATGTCGGGTCACGCCAATGACTAGCATCTCAGTCATATCTGAAGTTAGGAGCAGAACGTTTCGAGACTTCCAGCTTTTCACAACAAACACACAACAGACCTCTAACTTCATAATTTGAGGTGAATCGTCAAGTCTTTACAGTCACATACAGCAGAGTACCATCAGTGTAACAGTGGACATTAATTTCATGAATGCGAATAATTTGGCCATGAGGTGAAATATAAAGAGAGAGAAGCAGAGGGCCAAGAACAGAGCCCTGGGGTACGCCATATTTCACATCAGAATACTTGCTTTGTGGTTGTTACTGATGACGTTTGTGATGATGAATTCTACTGATATTTTCCTGCAGAACATTATGATTTTGGGGGACTTCAATGCAGATGGACCATACCTTTCAAATAGGAAGAAGGAAAATAGTCCCATGTGGTATCCTCCCTACTTCTGGCTGATAGATGATAAAGTCGACACCACGACTAGTAATAAAAATGACCACACCTATGACAGGTATCTTTACATCTTGTTTTTTAGTTGTGTCTTAACTGAGCACATATATCAATATATCTTCCTCTATCTATCTATCTATCTATCTATCTATCTATCTATCTATCTATCTATCTATCTATCTATCTATAATCAAGACTTTTTTTATTCCAGTCACAACTTCCCTGTCTATCTACCTACCTGCCTGCCTGCCTACCTACCTATCAATATACTGGCCTACCTATCTGCCTACCTACCTACCTATTAATCTACCTACCTATCTACCTAACAATCTACCAACCATCTGCCAACAGGATTGTGGTGTTTGGAAACCACATGTATGAGGCTGTTGGGGCCAACTCCGCTAAGGCTTTCAACTTCCAGAGAGCCTACCATCTGCCTGATGCCGCTGTAAGACCGTTTGACATTTTACATGAAAGTGTTAATCAACTAAGATCAGTAAAAACTTTTATATAACAAACAAACTATTTTTACCACCTTGCTGGTTTTCAAAAAGACTCATGACCTGTTTTTTTTTCCAGGCTCAAGCCATCAGTGACCACTACCCTGTGGAGGTGGAGCTTCTCTAGCTCTGTGGTATATCACTGCTTTCTCTTCATGCACATTTGACTGTGTCTTATCAGAAATAAACTAAATCATGAAAGCAGGATCTTTGTTGTGTGAGGAGAGTTACTGCTTGTTATTACAAAACATTAATGATGTACATGAATATGAGTCAATGACGTATAAGGATTTTCCACACGCCAATTTTAAAATACACAAAATAAGAATATTTATTGCAATGTGGTGCGACTGTGATTTATCTTAAAATTATCTAATTTCCTTAACATATATATTCAAATATATAAATATTTAAAATATATAACATTTTTTATAATGTTCTGAGTAATATATACTGTTTAGAAACAAGTATTCAAATCTTTAGAGTTTTTGTAAATAATGATCTCATATTTTTGTCCTGAACATTTACTTTTCCTATAAATTGCATAAAACCGATAAAAATGTCTAAAAAAAATGTCTAAAAACCATTCACTTAATTATACTGTATCAGTGATTAATATCTTATTTTGAATATAATATAGCTGTTGCTAATATTGGTGACGCCACATGATATTTCGACACTTTAATGACAAATACCTAAAGGTTTTTGAAAAGTTAAAGTGAGTATATACAAGTTGTGCTCATAAGTTTACATACCCTGGCAGAATTTCTGATTTCTTGGCCAGTTGTCAGAGAATATGAATGATAACACAAAAACTTTTCTTTCACTCATGGTTAGTGGTTGGGTGAAGCCATTTATTATCAAACAACTGTGTTTGCTCTTTTTAAATCATAATGACAACAGAAACTACCCAGATGACCCTGATCAAAAGTTTACATACCCCAGTTCTTAATACTGTGTATTGCCCCCTTTAACATCAATGACAGCTTGAAGTCTTTTGTGGTAGTTGTGGATGAGGTTCTTTATTTTCTCAGATGGTAAAGCTGCCCATTCCTCTTGGAAAAAAGCCTCCAGTTCCTGTAAATTCTTGGGCTGTCTTGCATGAACTGCAAGTTTGAGATCTCCCCAGAGTGGCTCAATGATATTGAGGTCAGGAGACCGAGATTCACAGTAGGAATGGTGTACCTTTCATCATAGGCCTTGTTGACTCCTCTCCAAATGTAACGTCTATGGTTGTGGCCAGAAAGTTCAATTTTGGCCTCATCACTCCAAATGACTTGGTTCCAGAAGTTTTGAGGCTTGTCTCTGTGCTGTTTGGCGTATTGTAAGCTGGATGCTTTGTGACATTTGCGTAGTAATGGCTTTCTTCTGGCGACTCGACCATGCAGCCCATTTTTCTTCAAGTGCCTCCTTATTGTGCATCTTGAAACAGCCACGCCACTTTATTTCAGAGAGTCCTGTATTTCAGCTGAAGTTATTTGTGGGTTTTTCTTTGCATCCTGAACAATCTTCCTGGCAGTTGTGGCTGAAATATTTGTTGGTCTACCTGACCGTGGTTTGGTTTCAGCAGAATCCCTCATTTTCCATTTCTTAATTAGAGTTTGAACACTGCTGATTGGCATTCTCAAGTCCTTGGATATCTTTTTATATCCCTTTCCTGTTTTCTTACAGTTCAACTACCATTTCCCGCAGATCCTTTGACAATTCTTTTGCTTTCCCCATGACTCCGTCGGTGCAGCACTGGATGAAAGATGCAAGGGTCTGTCAGGAGCCCAGAAACTCACTGACCTTTTATACACACACACTGATTACAAGCAAACAGATCACAGGTGAGGATGGTTACCTTAAGTAGCCATTCAAATCCGTTTGTGTCAACTTGTGTGGATTTTATCAGGCCAAAATCTCCAGGGTATGTAAACTTTTGATCAGGGTCATTTGGGTAGTTTCTGTTGTCATTATGATTCAAAAAGAGGAAACACAGTTGTTTGACAATAAATGGCTTCACCCAACCACTAACCATGAGGGGAAAAAAAGGTTTTCTCTTATCATTCATATTCTCTGAAAAATGGCCAAAAAATCCCAAATTCTGCCAGGGTATGTAAACTTATGAGCACAACTGTATAAGAGAGAGAGTTACTACATATATATGTAATCTTTTTAACTGAACAAATTGCACTCAGACAGAAAATGTAGGCGTTACATGCACAAACACAACGTGTATGTTGTTTCTGCGCAACGACGGATCCAACGGGTGGGTTCTTTGTGGCCTTATCCCGAGTTTCATTGCGCACCGGTGATGAATCCCTTTTTAAAAACAGATTAAAACAGCAGCTGAGAATAAACAGAAAATCCTCCATAAACCAGACCGTCTCATTTCAGATGGCACGCCTTAGTGGGCTGCATCCCCTTTATTAGACAAACTGAGAGTGAGGCTGCCCAGCAAGGCCAAATTCAATATGATTAACATGATCCTTATTGTTTAGAATAGAATAGAAGTTAATTTCTCCATCACAGTGGAGATTGTCTTTGTCTCACCAAAACATAAAAGCACCACAGAACAGGTGTCCAACACAACATGTTGACTTACGGACACACTTGGCCAGTAGATTTGAGTTTTACTGGCCCCTTTAAGCATGGCGTGGATGTGGGATCCCGGTTTGTCACTGACTTCCAGGTCCCCTAGTATCATTTTCCAACGTGCATGATAACCTGATAGCAGAGCTGTCTCCTACACCTTACATTTCTATACAACTGAACTGCAACAGCAGACAAATTTTGTCGGATATGTAATTGCAACTATATCTATAATATTGATATGGTAAATGGACTTGCACTTATACACAACGCTTTTCTAGTCTTTCTGACCACTCAAAGCGCTTTACAATACTTGCCACATTCACCCATTCACTCACACATTCATACATCACACTCAAACACTGATGGAACAGCCTTCAAACTGTTTTATGGTTCTGTTCAGACTCTCACAGAACCTGGTTCAGGTCTGGGAAAGATCTGGGTCGGGTACATATTATTCTTAGTGAGCTTTAGACGGAGCCAGGCTAGCTGTTTCCCCCTGATTCCAGTCTTTATGCTAAGCTAAGCTAAGCTAAGCTAACTACAACAATCTCACTCCACCTCTGTACCTGTACCTCTCATTTCAGGTTTGAAAAGAAAAAATAAACATATTTTCTAAAACAATTTCTTAAAGTAAGTTTTAATTTTAATGATAAAGAATGTCTTTTCCTCGTAGTTTAACGATGACTGAGGTGTTTGTGATGAAAAGCTCAGCCGTACAGACGGGAAACACTGGCTGGCCGTGATAAAAGATAAAGAGTGTGGGGTGTGTTATGGTTTGCATGCATCAGTTATGTGTGTGTGTGTGTGCGTGTGCGTGTGTGTGTGTAGACACACTTCCTGTCTCTGTAGTTAGACAGTTCTGAGTTCAGTCTCAGTTTGCCTGCGGACACGTGAGCAGCTGCTGTTTTTCAGAGCGGCAGGTAAGTTATTCTTCTATTTACAAAACTACCATAAGGAACTGAAGTGTTCTCTGCAGCACTGGTACTGATCAACACTGAATGACTGTGTGCACTCTGCATTTTACACTGTATGAAACCTGGAATATTCTCAGTTTCGTTGACAAGGCGGTAAAAGTGTATACTTGAGTATTTCCTCACTATGCTACTTTTTACTTATACTCAGAGAAATATTGTACGTTTTACTCTTTTATGCTTTTATACAAAACATCTCATTATCTTATAAAATATGATTCATTATTATGGTGAAAATGCCCTTAAAGTAGTTGAATATGCTCCAGCTCAGCAAGCTGCAACATTAACATAAAAATTACATGTGAATGCATCAATAATAGTCAAATTAATCCTATACTATAATATATCTGATAGTATTATTTATCTCATAATATAATTAAGAAGAATTATTTCCCAAGAAACTGATGGAAATGTCGAAAACTGCCGTGCATTGCAATGTTCAATGAAAGAGAAATTCCAGGATTCGCCCCTTTAACCCACGTCTCATCCCTCCACCAAGTACGAGGTAAATCGGTTCAGTACTTTTTGCAAAAACAAACAAACAAACAATCAAAAAGACATGCAAACATGTGAGGACATAACCTTGATGGAGGCAAGAAACCTTGATCTCATATGTTAAAGTCACATCTGTTAACGTGAGAACGACGTCTCTACCAGAGAGTGAACGTGGAAGTAGGAAACTGATCTGCACAACACTTTCTCTCAGTTCATTTCAGGGTCATATCTACTCAGAGAGCCCAGACCTCCACCAAGTTCAGCGTAAATCGAGTCTCTTGGTGCAGGTGAAAGATTTCTTTAAACGTCTTGTGCACGTTTCCTTTCTCACTTCATATTAAGTGTTAATTGTATAAATCGTCATCTCTATGCTGCATGTTGAAGCTGCATCACAGATCTGTTGTGTAGGAAGACGGCAGTGTGACAGCTGATATGTTGATATGACCACAGATTCTGCACTGTGGGCTCACAGTTCGTCTACCTCAGTTTCTGCTTTTGGTCTGATTCTCTTCTCCATTTTCTTCCTCTGTCTGTTTTCTGTCACGTACAGTATGAACATTTTGTCACGTATATTCATCCTCTAACCCACCGTTAATCATCTGTCTTTCAAAACAAAGTCAAAATGAAGGTAGCCGCCTTCAATGCCAAGAACCTGGGAGTGAAAAAAGTCACAGACAAGACGATCAGCCGCTACCTCACCAAGGTAACTCTGAGAATCATTTCTATATGTGTAATAGTCAGGTACACTCAGGTATGTACACAGTATGTGTTGTGTGTGGCATCTAAACAACAAGTGGACTGTGTCTGTTCCAGATCATCTCTCAGTACAGTGTGATAGTGATCCTGGAGGTGGTGGATAAGAGCGGTGAAGCCATGAAGACGTTAAAACAAGAACTCAACAAGACCAGGTGAGTTGTCGGCTCTGGTTGTAAAGAGAGAATCTTTAAAAGAGGAAGAAGCTCTTTTTTTCTCCTCTTTTAACAGCTTTAAATATTTACATTATGTTATATTTATATATATGTATAAATAACGACGTTGGTGAGCGCACTAAAAATTACTCCTTTTCTGATCTTCTCCGCGGTGGTTAAGGTTGAGTTTAGGGAAGTAAAAATACCCAGGTAAGGATATAGAAAGCTTGTGGTCGAAGTGGGGGATAAGGGCAACAGACAACAGGTTTGGGGGGTAAATGTATGTTTGGGCTTCGGCTTATTTTCTCAAACTGTGCAGTAAAACTCTACGAACCGACACAGAAACTTCAACTTCAGTACAAAGAATTGTATAAAAGAGACGCCTCGGTGCGTCACCTGGTACAGCACATACCTTTTAGTCTCAGTCCCAGCTGCAGCGGCCTGGGTTCAATTCCTCTCTCTCTCTTCCCTAACTTTCCTGTCCGTATCACAATAAAGCGTTTACTGTTGGCAGGAGATAAGACTTTAGTGTCGTACTCGCATGAATCAGTGCTGTTGCTTTCTTGGGGAGGACAGCCAAAGTAAACAACCAGTTTTTCCAGTTTGTATGGCCCCAGGTCGGTTTTCCATCCGTCAGTCCGTCTGTCCCTCGTGAACGTGATATCTCAGTAACGTCTCGAGGGAAGCGTTCTCTTGGACTCAAAGATGAACTGAGACTTTGGACAAAACACGTTGTTGGCTGTAACTCAACAACTCATTTTAAATGTTGTTTCTGTTTCCCTCAGCTGTAACAGACAACGTCCCTACTCCATGGTCGCCAGCGTCCAGCTGGGACGAGACACCTACAAGGAGCAGTTTGTTTGTTTCTACAGGTGAGAGAACAGGTTCGCCGTCAGATAAAGGAGTAGCTCCCTCCCAGATTAAAGTCATTATCAAATCCTTCATAATTAGCTGTGATGAATGGTTTAAGATAAAAACAACCAATCTAACAATGAAGTGAAGCCAATGTATGGGTTTAAATACAGGTCATGGTAAATGTAGTAAGCACACAAACACACCAGTGTCTTATCACACCTGTGTGTGTTTATATGTGTGTGTGTCTCAGACAGGACGAGGTGACACTGACAGACTTTCACCAGTATGAAGATAATCAAGCTGGAGATGAAGACGCCTTCGCCCGAGAGCCCTTCATCCTGCGCTTCAGCTGTCCAGCTACAGGTATGTGCTGCGTATGTTCCTCTGAGTATTTACATCCCTTTTCCAGATGCACATGTGATCACCTTTCTCTCCAGATGTGGAGGACCTGGTCCTGATCCCAGTCCACACCAAACCAGAGGATTCGTTGAAGGAGCTGGACGAGCTGTATGACGTGGTCGATGCCGTCAGGAAGAAGTGGGGAACCGATGTAGGTTGGATAATCTGATGACATGTTCAATGATAACATGTTAATTTGTGAGTGATTGTCTGCCCTGCTCTGATTGGCTCCTCTTCCTCTGTGTCAGTTCGTCTCTGTTCCTCCCGAACATTCCCACCTTCCTGTTCCTGTTATTCCATGATATCACATACAATAAACTATCGTTTGCTTTCTGTAGTATTTTGAGTTACTGAGAGACAGAAATTTATTTCTTTACTACAAACATTTCAACACTGGAAACTGTTCTGCTCTCTGATGGTTCTGCCTTTTATCAGTTTATGGCCGTTGAATATTTGAATAATAACCTGTAAGTAAACGCAGGTGTGAGTGTGATAAGAAAAAACGACCAAGCCTGTTTCATTTCATTTATCTACAATGTCTTCACAACTGAATGTGCTTGAATACACATGATGAACTAAATAAATATAATTTGGTTCTTTCTTCTTTCTTCTTCTTCTAAATCACTTTGTAAAACCATCTTTAAATTTACACATTTAGAATAATGTCCTTTGAATTTGTTATTTGTTGTATTGGTAATTTCCCCTGTAGAATGAAAGTGGAATAAAAGAAACGAAAAAAAGGTGGATATCTTACCTGTGATTAAACTCTCATGATATTGTTGTTGTTGCTTTTTCTTTAGAACATTATGATTCTTGGGGACTTTAATGCAGATGGACGTTATCTCTCCAAGAAGAAGAAGGAACAGATCCGCATCCTCTCGGCTCCCTACCATTGGCTGATAGACGATGATGTCGACACCACGACGAGCAACAGCAACGACAACACCTACGACAGGTGACACACACACACACACACACACACACACGTTAGCACTGTTAGAGTTGTGTAATACCACAATTATTCCTCTTGTAATACTTGAAAACTCCGGCGTCCAGTTTGTCGAACATCCCAAATACAGTTTGGTTTAATTCACACAGTTCAATCGTATGGATCCTTTGTCATCTCATATTCTAAATTTAGCACATGCACAATTTAAGAAAGCCTTGATTCTCCATCTGCCCTAGAAATTTCATTTGAATTATTTTGTGTGATTGTGTATTTGGACACTATTATGTGCCATCTTTAGTTTTCTTGACTATGTGTTGGAGAGAAACCCGATCGAGTCTCTTTGACGACTTTTTGTGTCTCTCAACACATTTTTTTTTGTTATTTTTCTGGACATCATCTTACTGTTTAAACAGTGTGATGCCTTCTCTGCCAACAGGATCGTGGTGTACGGAGACACCATGCTGGAAGCTGTCGTCCCCCGCTCTGCAAAGTCTTTCAACTTCCAGAGAAAGTTCAAACTGACTGATAAAGAAGTAAGACTGAGGCCCAAGCTGTAGTTCAGACTAACAGAGGCTGATTTACCATCAGAGTTCTCAAGAAGCTTCTCATTTCAGCCAAAATAACAACTACAACTGTCAGTTTTACCTGTTATAGCTAGCTGAATAAATAAGCTAGTGTTAGCTCCATGAATTGGTTGAAAGAAAAAAGTCTCTGGCTAATTTCTTACTGTTTCATCAGCTGATGGTCGATCTAAGACGTGGGAACGAAGACACACCGTTGGGCTTGATTGCAGTTTAATATTAGCCATCGTTAAAACTGCAAGATCAGACAGTTTTTCGTGCTAACGTCACCCTGTTTTGCTCCTTAGCTCCATACACGTTTGTAGCAGTAGCCGACATGTTCACTACTAATGTCACATGAGAAGAAGATTTTCGTGTGAGGACTAACTGATATGAGCGGAAACATAACGTTATCATGGGTAACATTAGATGGAGTGAATCCAATAAAGAGCGGGAAAACGTTAGCTTAAACCCCACGTTGGGAGTGGTTTCTGCTTTATAATTAGGTAGCCGGACATGCTAACGTTTTTCAGCTTACATCACAGCAAATAGACTGGAAGTTTTGCTATTGCTACATAGCTAACGTTAGCATTAACAGCTGAAGAACCGTCTGAGTTCTCAAAGAAAACGTTTACTTTTGTCAATTAAAATCATTTAGCTTTTAATTTAGCTAATTTCTAAAGTCTGCTGCGTAACAGCATCTTGTTGGAGATCAAGTCAGATAACAGTGGTATTCAACATGTCTTTATTTGCTTTCCAAGACTCTCAGTATCAGTGACCACTACCCTGTGGAGGTGGAGCTGAAGAGCAGCCAGAAACACAAAGTACCACGACAACGGACGATGGCTGTGTCCCACAACACAAAGACGACGTCCATTAAAGGACAAACCCAGAGGAAAGGTATCAAATGTATCATAAATAATAATAATAATCAACCACAACACAATTCTAGCTATTTTAATTTGATTAATTACTATTTATTTCTTTGAATGGATGTATAATTGATAGTATATTACAGTGTTTTCTTTCTGGGTCAAACATTTCAGTTTTGTTTAATGTAATTTGAACACTACAGGACCACAGAAGAAGACGACTCAGTCGGAAGGACCACAGAAGAAGAAGGTTCAGCCGGTAACACCACAGAAGAAGAAGGTTCAGCCAGCAGCACCACAGAAGAAGAAGACTCAGCAAGCAGCACCACAGAAGAAGAAGACTCAGCCAGCAGCACCACAGAAGAAGACTCAGCCAGCAGCACCACAGAAGAAGAAGACTCAGCCAGCAGCACCACAGAAGAAGACTCAGCCAGCAGCACCACAGAAGAAGACTATGGCTGTAAAAAGAAAGAGAGAACAGTCTTCAGTCACACCGACCAAGAGAAGACGCTTGGATGAATGAAACAGACTCAGGATGTTGCTCATATTTCTTAATTAGTGTAATTAGGGTTAAAAATGATTTTGCTTCTTAAAGCTTCTGCACATGATGTTCTTCTTTACTGACGACACGTCACTGACCTGCGACTGAACAACTTGAATCAGCCTTCACACAGGTTGATTTAAGATTTCTGAAAACGCTGCTGTTAGTTGTTTTACAGCAGAGGGCTTGTCTCAGCTGTGATTATTAAAGCAGACTTTTATTCTTAAACACTGGAAAAGAAAAAAGCGTTTTGTCTTGTTGTTATTTCTCTTGAATGTTTGAGCTTCACTCTGCAGAATCACGTATGTAGAGTTCAACATATGAAGCGAAACAGCGACAGTCTGTGGATTTAAACTTACGTGTGTTGAAATAAATCCAGACTGTCACTAACCGTGATGTCACCGCAGTGGTTGGTCGTGGTTGAGTTAGTGGAGGCAGATCTGGTCAACCAGCTTGAGGCAGAACAGTGGAAATAAAGTAGAAAACTGACACCGTACATCAGGCTTTTTGTCACCACAGTATTTGGTCTCTGGTGTTCGGATAGTTTCAGGTCTGAGGTTCTGGATCAGGAGTTTTCATTGTGTGATGGATGAAGGTAAATGATCTTATTTTTCTGGGTTTTTAGACAGAAGATCCACAGTCACTGGCACCTGTTTGTCCAAACTTTAAAAAGAGCAGGAAACCTATCCTCCCAAAAAACCCAACAACAATCCAACACAGTGGATATCTGACACCGCAGCTCCCCTGTGCTCCAGCTCCTCTCCTCCTCCACTCACTCCACCCTGGGGAGGTTTAAAAGGCCACGAGACACCTGAGTCCCCTCAGTGTGGGCAGACGCCTTGTACTGTTTTACTTCTCTCTTTGACTCAGTCACGTAGTTTCTGCTCAGCTTGTCTCCTTCTTATTTATCTTTATTTCCCTCTGCATCCCTCCATCTCTCTCTCTGCACCATGAGTCTGAGTCGCACCAAGCGAATCAGCTCCAGTAACTCTGTCCGGAGCAGCAGCGGGTCCAGGAGGCTGAGCGGCTTCGGTCCAGGTCCGGGGGGTTTCACCGGCGTCTCCCTGAGCAGCAGCTCTCTGTACACGGGCACCAACGGGCATCACCACGGCCTGGGCACCCCGCTGGCGTCCCTGTCCGTCAACAAGAGCCTGCTGGCCCCCCTCAACCTGGAGATCGACCCCAGCCTGTCCATGAGCCGAGCCCACGAGAAGGAGCAGATCAAGAGCCTCAACAACCGCTTCGCCAGCTTCATCGATAAGGTAAAGACATGGAGAGGAAACAGGAAGCAGGATATTACCTGGAAACTAAAATCATTATTCAGACAAAAATACCAAAAGTTTTCTGCTTTCAGCCTCAATAATGAAGATCTGCTGCTTTTCCTTGTTTCATATGAATGTAGAGTGAAAACATCAAAACATCAGGGGAAGTTGTGACTGGAATAAAAAGTCTTGTGTAGATGATAGATAGATAGATAGATAGATAGATAGATAGACAGATAGATAGATAGATAGATAGATAGATAGATAGATAGATAGATAGATAGATAGATAGATAGATAGATAGATAGGGGGAATTCGTGTGTTATGGCTGTCATGATATGAGATTTTCACTTTATGAATAATGTGACCAAAAGAATTCATGATAACCATGTTATTATCTCAATATATATAGAAAATGTGAATAAATAAATAAATGAATAAACAATGTTAATTCATCTTTAACTTTGTTTATTCTGTTTTTTGTCTCTTTTTTGGCAAATGAATTAAACTCAAATATCTAACAGCTCTGTAACTACAACTGTACAAACAGAACAATTACACTAAATGAAGATTAATGAACATCTTCACCGTCACCTTCTGCCTAACACAAGATCAATACTTCATCGATTAAATATCACAGTTATCGTCACTACCGGTTGATCCCGACACGCCTTAGATCAAGTGATTGATCGATCTGTTTCTGCTTGATAACGTAATTTACTGCAGTTAAATCTTTAAAGAAATAAAACATTTGATCTCTTACAAACAAAAAGTTGAATTTATGTTAATGAACTTTAGATGGATATTTCTGTTCAGCTGACTCTTCTCTGTTTCACCAAGTTCTACCTTTTACTGTCATCACTAACTGCCACTTGTGGCTACAGTCAATCAATCAATCAATCAAACAATCAATCAATCAAACAATCAATCAATCAATCAAACAATCAATCAATCAAACTTTATTTGTATAGCCTGTAACCAGGTTAGTTCAAAGAGTTTCACAGACTGATGAGATAAAAAGAAAAGGTCAAATTAAGTAAGAAAACTAACATGAGAAACAATAGATTAAAAAAGTTATAATAACATTAGTAAACAAAAACAAACATGAGAAAACTGGTAATAAAAGAAAAGATAAAATATAATAAAATAAGTGAATAAAATATAGTGACTAATGACTAAAAACCAGGTTTAATTAAAAGCCAGACTGAAGAGAAACATTTTGAGTTTATGTTTAAAACTTAAAATGCAGTTCCTGTTATTCAGCAAACTTTACAGTTTTCTCTAAATTTAATTTACTCTCTTTGTTGTGACCCTAACCCTAACCCTAACCTAAAACACTGAGCGTAGCGACACATTTCTAAAGCAACTAAACCTTTAAAAGTTTAAACACCATGAGGATTAAGTTCCAGCTGCATCAGAAACCCTCACAGGTGATTTTAGTCCCGACTCACTGAAGCTTCTCCCACCATCAAACTCAAGCAAAGGCCTAATTAGAATAAGTGAAAACACCTGTGCAGGTGTACCCGGTCTTAACGAGTTCACATTCATATTAGATGAACAGTGGAGCAATTGTAGCCACGTTAAAACCTCCTGTTTTACAGTGGTGCAGCAGGACAATATCAGATGAACAATCCCTGCGATGTGGATATCAACTCAAATTAAAACTCAGAGTCTGAGCTCTTTATTTCTGATCTAATGAGCTGGAGAATAAAACACACGGAGACATCAGGAGGCAGAAACGGTCAGATACTGGGTGTTACTGATGAAGCAGTAAGTGTGAGAAGTGTCTTTGTGGAGGTCTGTGAAGAACACAGGCTGCACACAGTTCCCACAGAGGGAGCGAGCAGCTCTGTGATACTGTCGGACATCGATACCCTGCTCAGGGAACATCTCCGCTTTCTCACGGAGTCGGTAACGCAGCCTCACAATGGAGGCTTTGTTGGCGTCTCACATCAGCAGAGATACACATCAGGCCTGAAGACACAGAGTGCTGTTCTGGACGGACGTCCTTTTGTCCAAACGTACAAAATTAACCCCTAAACCTCTTTTTATATTGTTTGACTGCTGAGTTAAACGCTCCACAAAGAGGTCGAACCTTTACTGATATAATCTGGAGCTGGGAGGTTGGTTAAATGTGTCATGGCTCTTGTTTAGAAGAATAAATGAAGAATTTGAAGAATAAAATTTGAGCAAACAGTAAAAACCACAGACATAAACAAGCTGCCCACCAATAGAAAAGAACCACTATTTAAAGAACCAAAAGTATATTACACTTTATTTTTTAATTCATATTTGTCTTGTTCCATAAATTAAGAAAAGGAAATCATTCACCAAACACGGCTTTACATCATTCTTTTGAAAACCAACAGCAGATTACACATTTCAAAATGTAAAGTAGCATCATTCCACAATTTAACCCCAACTATAGAAATAAATCTCCTTTTAATCCCTTTTTTTTGTCTTTTTGTACCGTAAACTTAATGTAGAATAAATTACATTCATGATAAAAATCATATTCAGACTCACTGACTGTTTTTACTGTCGAGTTTTTAACGTCTGAGCAGCTAAAGATCCTGAGATTACTGTGTCAGCTCCTGCTGACTTGAAACTGACCTGGTAAAATTAATCTAATCACCACAGGGTCAGTGTAAGGTTCTGCAGTGTTGTTAGTAAAGCAATAAAAACAAAAATGTATGTTCATCTGTAGAAGAGACGGTTGATGTGAGTTCACAGCAAACAGGTAAAACACACAGAAGAGTCCTTGTCAATGGAGCTTCTTCAACCTGGGTGTTTTTCTAACTCTCTAGGTCAGTTTTTTGCTTTGTTTATTGATCCAGGACGGTATTGCTGATTTATTGATTTTTAATTAAACCTGGAATCTGCAAGAATCAACCAAACGCAAGACACAAGAAAAAGCAGGAACTCTGCAGATCTCCATGAGTTTAAACCTGAAACATTAAAGAGCTGCTTCCCTCATGATGCAACAGACAAAGTTATAGCTGCAGGATGAAAACTCAGTTTAAATCTGATTCAGAGTCAATGACCCAGAGAAGATCACTGGGAAATAAAAAAGTATTTACTGATACAACATCCACTGAGACCTGAACTGTAACGCAGAGACCCAAAACCTTTAAAAACAGCCGAACGTTCAGTGGCTGCATCTGGGATTTAAACAGACATTTAAACCCTGGAATACGTGGTGGTATTGGGCCACAGGATATTTAATCTATCTGCCCCGTTTCCGCCCCATTGAGTCGGACTGTAACCCGATGAATCAGGTCAGACACGGTGTGGTCGTGTATCAGAGGGAGATTACTCTGACCTGAACAGAACACGGGCTTTGTGTTGGGAGGAGGAGGAATAATAGGTGGAGGACGGACCCGGCTGCAGGCAGGAAACTGGAGCTGTGCAGATACAAGCTCAGAGTACAGGCCTGACATTGAGCTCCAGTCAGTTATCTGCAGGAATTAACCTTTATCTGAGGAAGGAGATTATTCTAAGACTGTAACTTATCATTATTTTCATTATTTACTATTTCCTGGTTATTTCCTCAATAAATCAGTGAGTTATTTGGTTTTTAACATGTCAGAAAATTGTGAAAAATATCATCATAATGATACTATGATGACGTGTTCAAACTTATTCTGTTTGACCAACAGCCCGAAACCCCAAATATATAAATTTTACAACTAATGTACAAATAAAATAATGACAATCCATATAAAACAGCTGTTGCTATAGCAAAAGAGCTAACACAAGCTAACTGTATGTATGCAATCTGGGAGTGTATAGTTAGCTCGCGTTAGCGCCTGTGCAATGAATTGCAGAGAGTAAACAAGTAGAGACAGATATCTTTTCAGCTAAACATTGAACTAATGCTGCGTTTGACTTGGAGTGTTCAGGTTAGCCTGAGTGCTAATCTTAAATTAGCTTCGTCTGTCAGATAGATAGATAGATAGATAGATAGATAGATCATGGCAGAAGATACTTTATTAATCCTAAAACCCTTAAACTGCACTTTCTACCTCTCTGCCCCGCCTCCATCGCTCAGGTGCGTTTCCTGGAGCAGCAGAACAAGATGCTTGAGACAAAGCTGGAGCTGCTGCAGGGCCAGGGGTTGGGCCGGTCCAACGTGGAGCCCCTGTTCGAGGCGTACATGGCGGGTCTGAGGCGCCAAATGGACCTGGTCAACAACGACAAGACCAAACTGGACGGGGAGCTGAGGAACATGCAGGGCCTGGTGGAGGACTACAAACACAAGTGAATACAGTCACTGAGGTTCTGAACTGACGCTTGATTCTTTATAATGTCCCTGTGAACTGAATTAGTGTCTCTGTCCTGTCCCCGCCACAGATACGAGGACGAGATTAACAAGAGAAACAACCTGGAGAATGACTTTGTTATCCTGAAGAAGGTCAGCACACACACACACAAACATTCATTCACACATTACAGGTGTGTGTCTCTCTCTCTCTCTCTCTCTCAAACACTCCCACATTCATTAAAACCCATTAACTCTTTGGCAACTTTCCCTGTCAGTGTCACATGGGAAC